GTCGACGTAGTTTCCATCTGGCAGGTATAGCGTCTCTGCGTGTCCTCCGAGGCGGTTGTTGGGCTCTATTACTACCACGTGCTTCCCTGCATCTTTGAGCTGGATGGCACTGTATGTTCCTGAGCTTCCGCCTCCGAGGATGCAGATGTCGCAGGTTATGGTTTCGAGGGGGGCAGCCGCTGGTAGTAAGGCTACGAGGGAGCAGAGTAAAATAAAGAGGTGGACCATCAGACACGGTTGATCATACAATAAGCTTTTTTCAAGTGAATGTGTCGATCAATGGCTTATGCTTGGTCGGTCATCTCAAACGGTATAGTGGCTGTAGAAGTACGCCGCACCTCTCTCAGGCTCTTGATACGCTTACTTATACACCGGTTTGGAAAACGGTCCATTGGATATTATGTGATGATACATCCCGGCGTCCTCATGACAAACAGGGAATCATATGCTTCACTCATGAGATGTCCATGGGTGTAGAGTACGCAGGGGTGTGCGGTTCCTGCATCTATCTGTTTGTGGACACTATTTGACAAGACAACTTCACCTGACTTCAACTTCGACACAAATATCTAATTTCTCTGGATGATCATGAATCATATGTGGTTGCGGGTTTTTACCATAACTATGGGGTAGAGATGGGGTTGTCTGTACAACACTGACGTGCATCTGATCATCTACTTCAGGTATATGGCCGGGTTGGCATCACATGGCAATACTCAGCTTCATAAACTTGTGACAGTATCTTCTTGCGCCAGTCTTCTATCCCAGCCTCAGGGTAATGATCTATTACTAACTAAACCTCATAAGCCACATTCTATAGCAAGCAAGCACAAGACAACCCCATCTATTCCTTCTCCCCCTCCAGCGCAGCAACCAACTCCCCAAAAGCAGCCTGAATCCCCTCCCTCTCCCCAACCCAATAACCCCCCTCCCCATCCAATCCCAAATCCTCCCCTCTAGCCGCCCTCTCAACCTCCTTCATCTCCGGAAACTTCAACCCAATCATCCTCTCCAACGGCCTCATCCTCACCCCCTGCAACACCTGCCTCAGCTGCTCCGCCGCCTTCCCACCCCCATGCCCTCCATAACTCACCACCAACGCCGGCTTCCCCTTCCACTCATGAAACAAATAATCAATCGCATTCTTCACACTCGCCGGATACCCCCAGTTATACTGCGGTGTGACGAAAATAAACGCCTCGTGGCGCGATATCTCCCGTGACCAGGCCTTGGTGTGCTCGTGCTCGTACTCGTCTGCTGAGCTGATGCGGGAAGGCATCCCTGACTCGTTGTATAGTGGGAGATTCCATTCTGCCAGGTCGATTGTCGTAATGGTAGCTTTTTCAGCGGGGTAGGATTCACGGATGGTGTTGTGGATGAATGTGCCGATTTGGGGGCCTGCGCGAGGAGTGCGCTGGCTGCAGATTATGAGGCCGATGGAGGGGGGCATGATGATTATTCCCAGTTCCTTCTTTCTCTTTTTGGTGGAGGTGATAGGGGTGGTAGGTGGATTGGTTTTTATCTCTGTGCTACGTTCGTGGTACGGTTCTACGGGGTGTATGGGTATTTATGTGATTGAGAGGCTGTTTGCGATGTATGGTTCTGGTGGTCGGATAAGCCTTGTCCGAAGGCCGAGGCCGAACGCCGTTTGCTGATGTGAGGTGAGTCAATGTTGTAAATGCTGATTGATAATGCTCTTTGCTGGTGAACTTTATTTACTACGCGTGATAAAGGATATGTTACTGAATTGATGCAGTTTGGGCCATGAGGCAGAGTTGCAGATTTCTTCGGCGTGATGCCGAGCGTGGCGAATCATCGTGTTTTCTCTGTACACTGCAGGAGATATGCATGTGGCACGTGACTTACCCGACTGGGCGTCCTAATAACTACTAATTACCTACCCTACACAGCGGGTACCGGCAAACAACCCATCCACCACCAAAAAAAATTGACAGAGATCGCGAAAAAAGAAACAACTCCTCAAGCCCAACGCGGGGCTCGAACCCGCAGCCTTGAGATTAAGAGTCTCACGCTCTACCGATTGAGCTAGCCGGGCAAAGGGAAAGAGGAAGTTGAACAGCCCAACGCGGGGCTCGAACCCGCAGCCTTGAGATTAAGAGTCTCACGCTCTACCGATTGAGCTAGCCGGGCTGGCTTGGTGAAAACCGCTTTCTTTTAGTGCTACAGAAGCCGGGGCTTACGATTGGCCGCTCTGGGTATAGTCTGTTTTTGATGTCATGTGACATGGGTTTGGATGCTTTGTATATGTTGTTAGTTACTGTCCTGCACACTGGTTTTCGATAATTCGGGGACTTCTAAGTTATTTGTTTTGCTTGAGATACCTGGCAAGGCTGTTCTTGTGGATTGGTGATGGTGGGGTTGTTCCTCTCTAGGGTGTCGAGATATATATTATGCGGATAAAAGGTATCTCGGCCATTTTCCACATAACCAACTAATAACAATAACCATTAAGCTACTAGATACAATACACCGACGTGCACCAAAATACCACAGAGTATGGTAAGACAGCCCACCGCTAGAAAAACTACGTGCTACCCTGAATTGCCCCAGTTCACATTCACACCGTAGATATCGATCTGATATGATACAGACAGACCAATAAGAACCATCCGCCAACTGAGATGTCGAAAGAATCGCGAAAATCCACTTCTACTACTCGTCCAATGAAGACGCGCCGTCGTGACACGTATATGAGAGTGTATTCACTGGTCAGTTATTGCGAGGAGATATTGGGTGGTGGTGGTAGTGGGCTAATTGCCTGACCCCTCGGATGTACCGGGCAGATGTTGTACAATGACCCGCCGACGATAACCAACGCACTGCATAATGAATCCGGCAGACCTGCAGTAGCGTCGACCCTGTAACCCATCGTCTACGCGGTGTTGCTCATACACCGAAGAAAAGATGTCAGTTGCATCAATCGCATGTCCGATCCCAAAGACAATCCGACCATTCCGGACTAGCGCTGCGTGGGTGTACTAAAACACATACGTTGCCACTCTTGTTGTCCGAACAGAGCACCAAAGTCACTCAGCCACCACTGAGGTCTGGATTAAATCAAACAATATACTCAGATCAGACCATGTTCGAATTTAGTCAAGCGAAGCCATATATTCGTGCATAAAATTGCAATGTCAGTTTGAGAACTCTTATGTGCGCCACGAGAGCACTAGCTTAATTTAGGAGACTTGATTGGTCTCGGCAGGCCTCACTCACCATGAGTCATGTTGCACTCATGTTAGATGCTGCACCGCCTCTCCACCGGGTGGGTCGCGGATATTCCAGACTCGGCAAATGTATAGATATCGCATTTGTATAAATGGGGATGGAATCCTGCATGTCGCCGACAATCAACAACAGTATCACCTCAAGGACTCCCCACAGAGTGACAGGCCCAGGCAGATTCCACACATCATCCAAGAATCGATCACCAAGTGATCAATGCCACTTGTACAAACCACATCCTCGGCTCACCACAATAACATGGAAGCTCCTAGTCAACAATACTCCATACCAGCAGGGGTTCACATCATCCCAGAACATCTCCTGGACCTCCGTTCCGACACCGAAGTCGACCATGACCTCCTCCACCCCCAACCCGTGACAGACGAGAAAAATATCTGGCTCTTCTGGCACAGTGGCTACTCCACCATGCATCCATATACAAAGCGAAACGTGCGCGCATGGCACCGGCGCTTCTCCAAAGCCGGCTGGGTCGTACGTGTGGTCGACCGCGAACCGTTTTCCCCTCTCAACATAGCCAACTTCATCGACATCAATGACACGGACAACTTCCCTCGCGCATTCGCCGAAGGCACCATCAGCGGTACCTACGCGAAGCAGCACACATCCGACCTTGTTCGCCTACCTCTACTCCTGAAATACGGCGGTATCTACGCCGACGTCGGACTGATCCAGATCGGCGACGTGGATCGATTGTGGCGCGAGACAGTCGGAAACCCGGACTCGCGGTTCGAGGTGCTCTCCTACAATGCTGGCGATGCCAACGAGCGCAGCCTTACCAATTACTTCCTCATGTCGAGACGCAACAACCCGCTATTCGAGCGGTGTCATCGTCTACTGTTGAAGTTGTGGGAAGGAAAGACGTGTACAGATGGGATGCATCGAAGTCCGCTGTTGAAGGAATTGCCGTTCCTCACTGGAACCGGTAATTTGACAGAGCAGCAGTGCAGAGAGTTGACGGATTATATTATCCAGGGACAGGTCATGACTCTGGTCATGGGCTTAGTCGATGAAGAAGATAACTGGGATGGACCGAAGTATGTCGCGGAGCATGTCTACGGAATTGAATTCATGCAGGGGTCGCAGCTGATCAATGACATGACTGGATGGGATGGTCGGAAAGCATTCGAGCTCATGTCTTTGCCGCTGCCGAAGGAAGGCGAGGAGGAAACCGCGGAGCAGAAGCAGGCTAGGGAGATCGTCGAGGCTTGTCTGACGAAGAGTTTTGGGTTTAAGCTCGCTCATGGATACATCCTGGAGGTGATGAATGTGACACTGGGGTCGTTGTGGAGGGAGAATGAGGGATCAGATAATGTGCCCGGGACGTATGCGCATTGGCTCCGGCATGCAATCGTGCATTGGAGTCAGGATGCACTTCCGCCGACACAGCAGTATACTGTGCTTGAGCCGATCAAGAGGGGACCGCTATTGCGGGAAGAGTAGTTAGACACCATGATACCAGTATAAATAGCACCTACTAGACTCACAATGCATAGACCTGATAACCCATTCCTACCTCCCAAATGACTGAAACAAAGAACCACCGCAATAGCCTTACGTCCCAAACCGGCTAGCCCACACTCACCACACGCCACACTCACCTGCCAAAACCATCAGCACCAGCCACACCTTACATAAGCATCACGACCTATCAAACAAACAAGGCCACCTAGACCATCAATACATACAAAGCACAAGCACGTCACCACCAACCCTCACAACCCCCCAACGCAACCATGCTATCCGGAATCCAAAATGTACGCCAAACAGCCATCCAGCTGCTCAACTTCGGGCTGGTCCTGAGCACTGCATTTATGGTACGATACCTCCAATCCTTCCCCATGACAAACTACCATCGGGGAAAACAAATACACGATCGCAAGATCAATTGCTTACAGACACTAACACTCTGGTGGAAATCTACAGATGTGGAAAGGCCTCTCGGTCCTCACCAACTCCCCCAGTCCGATAGTAGTCGTCCTCAGTGGCTCCATGGAGCCCGCTTTCCAGCGCGGAGATCTCCTCTTCCTCCGGAATACGCAACCGACGCTGAACGTTGGAGAAATCGTGGTGTATCAGGTCAAGGATAAGGATATTCCGATTGTGCATAGAGTGGTGAGGCAGTTTGGGGAGGGGTGAGTGTATTCCCCCAGTCGGAATATATTCGTTCCAGATATGATGGAACTTGGAGTGTGAGCGCAGCATGCTAATCAGGTTATGGTTTGAATCATGCAGATCCGAAGCCAAGCTCCTCACGAAAGGCGACAACAACATTGCGGATGATACGGAACTCTATGCGCGCGGACAGGATTACCTCGATCGGGACGATGTCGTGGGAAGCGTGTTTGGGTATATTCCGTTTGTGGGGTATGTGACGATTCTTCTGTCGGAGCATCCGTGGTTGAAGACGGTGATGTTGGGGGTTATGGGGTTGTTGGTGCTTTTGCAAAGGGAGTAATGCGGTAGGAGTTAGTTTTCTGGATCTGGATTCTTTCTGCCTTGTTTGTTTGTCAGGGTATTTTGGGTTTTGGGGTTAGCTGGGTTAATAAATGCATATTGGGTTGCGGTTCATTTAGGTGCGGTTGTGTTGTAGGGTGGTTGTAGGTTTGGTGCTGGAGTGTCTTCGGTTGGAGGCTGAAGTTAGTAGTTGGATAGCTGTGGTTGTGGAGCAGTGATTGAACACGGAGCAAAGCTACCGAGTATGCTTTGTTGGGACCCCCGGGATGATTCGATCAAGTTGATTTTCATCTGCATAAACCTCGGTCGACAACAGGACATCTATGACATGCTTGACTGCTACCGACGGTAGATCAGTGACACCAAGTATGGCTGTTCACATGATATCATGTGGCTGCTAGTCTAGAAGACATGAGCAACTTTCACCTGCATATGACACTGTATAAAACCCCGGCACCTCAGGAAAGGGAAAGTGCCTTACACTAGACTAAGACGTCAGTGACCATCCGATTTATGATATCAGGACCTTCAACTTCTGCCTAGTCTCACCATAAATATCTCACCCGCTGAATAACAGCCTTTCTCAATCCTCGCAGTGGCCACTGAAACACGCCCCGACCGGACACACTCGGAACCAGGTTCCCTCAACCGGCTCTGCTCATACACCCGAAGTCAATTCAAGCTGCACAGCTCACTCCAGATTGCTACGTGAGGCAACATGCTGAAGCTCATCTTGCCACAGCGGAAGTTTAAGCTTGTATATCCATAGTGTGGGAGGCAGAGAATCAGGTTTCCACCCTCTCATGACGACTGCACCTGGGGTATTTGATGAGTATACTGACATCTCTCTAGTAGTGTGCACTATACTGCGTAATCGCTGAGTCTAGACACCCAGCCCAGTTTACGCTAGTTCACATTGATCGCAACAAGCAAGACACTAGCCTAGTGTCATCCAACGCGCACCGCTTATTCTTTGCCACATCCCAAGGTTTTCTGCCAGGTCATCAATCTTGGCCACAAACTCCATGGCTAAACTCAATTGCAAAGTGTGAGCCTCGCAAGCAGGATCGGTTCGCCTCGAAATCCAATCCAGTTTGAATATTCGTGGATGTCAACCAAACAAACACAGACTGTGGAGAGAGAAATGCTGAAGCAGGTTAGCAGCAGCTATTAGAATTGCCGCACAAATGCCATGCATTGGCACAAGTTGTGTGCTGGTTCCACCTGCTCTTTCTGGGATAAACAAACGACACTAAAAGTGTCCAGATCTACTTCCTCCCCATCCACAAGCAGAACAACAGACCCTCGTGAAAGAAAATTCTTTGACCCCGTTGGAAGGATACCGTCCATGGAATTCTCGGCAACAAGACGCTGGGTCGTCAGGAACACCGCGCACAGGGCGACGCCCTCAAAACGTGTGCCTGCCCCGCCAAGGAGCAGCTGCTTTCCCTCTTTGAGAAATCCAAGCTGTTGACCCACGGTTCTGTCTCGCCCAATAACCGCTGACTGTGCATGGATTCTGTAGGCGATGTTTTGCCATTGGTCGGAACGGATGTTCCCCTGGACCGGTTACATTTTCGCCCAATGAGCGTTGTTGATTTGCCTGAGGGCGGAACCACTGCTTGCGTGCATTGGGTTCGAGCCCCTGGCCCAGAAAGGTAAAACCATGGTTGATGGTGACAATTCGTGGATCGATTATTTTTGTGAATTCTTCTTTTGTGGGCTTTATTCCTGTCTTGGCTGTGAGGGCTTTGTGCGCTGCTGGTAAGTTGAGGGTGAATAGGGGCTAAATAGGTGTAGAGGCAGGTTACCGATGGTTGAAGGTGAGTGATGGAAGGGGGAAGCAAAGACCAGTTGGACAGACAGAAAACAGATACGCTTGGCCAAACCACTGTCAACGAAAATAGTGCGTACTAACAGCTCCACCAGGCTATAGGAAACCCAGTTTTCTGAGCAGTTTGTCGTCCACTCCACTCTAGATTGGCGTTCTCTTTGATCCTTTCGCCCGCTTTGCTTCTAACTGAACAGACACAGTCTCATGCATCAGCCTTGTGGCCATTGAGATTGAAACAGCCCAATCCTTACACACATACAATGGAAGTAACAGCCCCAAGCCACTTTTTGAGGCATGAATCGCGGCAGTCACACACACATGAAACAGCCGATACCTTTGGCTGAGATTTCTAACAACTCTTCTCATGTCACAAACCTATTCCCCCCACCACCAAGAAACCCTAATCCACTCCTCCACCGACCACAGTCCAGATTCATGGCAGTGGATGCCTCCAAACTTCATCCCAAGCCAATATCCAGCCAATGGGATTACTTTGCTTGCCATGACTTCCACAATGGCTTGTAGACCCTCCACCGCGTCAACCACCCTCCACTACTTCAATCCATGGCATCCAGGCTGACGCACCCCATCCCCTCCCTGTTCTGGACACATCCATTATTCCAGTTCCAGAAGAGAGACAGCCATGGCACGCCCATCAGCACAGGTATATAGACCTCGTCTTCTTCTTCCATATCCCTCCTCTCAGAACACTCAGGAAATTGTGATTCCCAACTACCACACAGTCTTTACATACCAAGACTCCGTCGTACTCTTTCGATAGGTGTACGACATCCATTCCTTACATTCACACTATCGTTATACACACTCGCTCGACGCGACACACACTCTCTCTACATACACTCTCTTAAACCAACAAGAAAGATGTACTTCACTACCCCTCTCCTGCTGCTGGCAGCTGCTCTCCCCAGCGCCCTCAGCCAGCCGACCCCCTCCAAGGTCCAAGGCCACTCCCGTCGCCAGATCGACATCTCGGCCTCTGCCTCGGTCTCCATTTCCGCCCCCTCCTCCAGCTCCAGCTCCAGCTCCACCAGCAGCGCCAGCTCCAGCGACTGGACCTCCACCCCCAGTGACGGCGACTACTCCACCTCTGGCTTCGGCTCCGAGACCTCCGCCTACGGCAGCGGCGACACCTACATCGGCAACGTCGGCAACCCGTGGGGCAGCAACATGGTCGAGGTGTCTGCCTCCGAAGCCTCCAACTACAAGTACGTCATGCAAGTGACGGGCCAGAACACCGAGGACTGGACCGTTGTCTTCTGGAACAAGTACGGCCCCGATGGAAAGATGGACGGCTGGTACGGATACTCTGCCTTGTCCTTCACCCTGTCGCCCGGTGACACCAAGTACGTTGCCTTTGATGAGGACACCCAGGGTGCATTCGGTGCTGCCCAGGGCTCTTCCCTCCCCACTGGTAGCAGCGGCGGATATGCTTGCACCTGGGGTGAATTCGACTTCGGATCCACTGCCAACGACGATTGGTCTGGATTTGATGTCAGCGCTATCCAGGCTCAGGACAATGATATGAGCGTCCAGGGTATGCAGATCTGTGATGCTCTGGGCTCCACTTGCTCCAGCATGACGGCTGATGCCGCCGAGGTTGACAATGCTTATACTTCTGCTGAGACTGATGTGGGTGGTATTGGTGGAAACCTCTCTGCTGGACCTGTTCGGTTGGCTGTTGTCATTGACTACAGTGGTTAAAAGGTTTATAGACTAGAAATGGAGTGATGTTTTTTATACTTTGATTGGATTGCCGTTAAGTGTAGTATGTACGAATAATGTAGATGTGTATACAGGCTTATCGGGTGGCTGATTATGCCTGATGGCGGATGGCGGATGGCTGATCGCGACTTCTTCCGCCATGGCGACAGCTAATAACGCCACGATTTAGTTGTCGATCATGTCGATCTTGATGATCTTTTCACGACCTCATCTATATCGATACAGAGTATTCTTTGATTGTTCTGGTTAAATTTCAACAATGTAGTGGTACTTAATAGTGAACGGATTGGACTTATCTTTCGTAAAAGGCACACCATAGTGATAACTCCAGTCTCAACTCACTTATAACTTTAATATCATGTGATATAGCCATGAGAGACTAAATTAGATAGTCACAATGATAGATGCTAATAAATAGCAAAGAATGCAAACGCACCTGCCGGGAATCCAACACCTCAAATACTCACCTTTCCTTAGTAGACCGACCCGCACTATAACAATCATCACTACTTACTTACCCACTATCGCAACCAAACAACACATTCACCCCCACGACTACCACGAAACACCTACACTTCCACCACCACTCTAAGCCAAAATAAATCCCTCAAACACACACCCCGAAACAAGTATCTACCTCACCATCCACCCATCCACCATCCATACCCCCAAGCCCCGGTCAGCCACCCACTCCCTCCCTCCCCCCTAACCAACCAAGAAACACATCCCAAACGCCACCAACAACACTCTAGACCATTCCACCACTACATACAAACATAGTACAAAACCAGGATCTAGAACAAACAAAACCCCAGTCCATCACATGCTGCAAAACAGCACCTTTGAAAAAATTTCCCCGAGTACTCTCCGCTATCTCTTTCTTCAGACAAGCATTGTGGAATTGTCACGGAGTCCCCACGGAATCCGGTGCAGACATTATCAGGGATTAGAATGGAAAGTTTTGAGATAAACACGTGCATCTCGCATGATATCGCTCGCATGGTGTCGGGGGGAAACTGCGAAGTATGAATGAAGATTAGTTTTGGATTGTCGGAGGACCGGTGGAGTATTCTATTACTGAGTAGTCTACTATGAAGATGTTTTAGCGATAGTATAGTATTATGTTCTGGCAAAGATGGTAAGTCCGGGTGGGATATCCGGATAGAGAACAATCTCGGCAAGAAAGGGAAATTGTTTAAATGAATTGAGTTGACTATAACTAGTATAGTATAGTACATACTAAACACCTATGTCATAGCGCTCACCCCAAGGGGGGCGTTTCCCTGGCCAAGCTGCAGAAATCAGCCCAGTCGTGCCTGGTTCGAATGATCGGGTTGGATCAGGATCATAATTATGACCCTTGTCATTATAACTATCGTCAATATCCATGGTATGCAAATATAGGATTAATCACTATATTCTATTATTCCCGGTAGGAGATACTAAAATCATGCATATCCGGCGTATACCGCGTATAACCAACCCAACCCCTACCATAACCTGTATATCTGTATCTGTGGTATGTACCTTGCATCTCCGATGAGGTAGGTAGGTTCCAGGATTATGACTGGACCGTTAGTATAATTATGATGTTGGAAAAGGGCATGGGTTGAGGGATTAAGTCAGGGGGCTTAAGCGGGTTTTCCGACCTTCCGCTTAGTTGGCTGGCTAGCTAGCTAGCTAGCTAGTTCGCAGGAAGGATTTCGCCGGTACCCTACGGAGTAACTAATACATATCTAGTACTATCTTCTGACTGTGCAGTGGAATCCTGCGTAGTTGCCACACAACTTATCTTTGCATAATGTTTTCTATCGGTCATATCGGAGGTTTGATAAGGGGGATTTTAACTGGACTTGTTTGCTATTGTAGTGGGTACTGCTCCATATGGATAGGTTCCTGTCTTATGCTGCCTATTACAAGTCTAGTAGTACTCTGCTAAATCCGGAGAAGCTCCTAGAAAGGGAAAGTCAATTCCCGAGCCGGAAGCTGGAAGCTGAAGCTGGAGCTCGCTCGGAGCTAAGTTTAGAGAGACTGGAATGAACAACATGATTGGATTGTTATAAAATGAAGGAAGAATTAGGATCAGCAAGAAACAGATAGAAGATACAAGATACTACTATTCTTTTAAAATACATATCAAACCAATCAATTTGTAAGACTGGGTAAGGTAAAGTTGGGTGCCTGCAGAAATCAGCTGCAAATGGTAGAAGCAAAAAACCCGGAGATAAATTCGCCGAAGCGGATAAGTATAAATAACAATTGATTAAAAATAATAACTTACAAGCGAATTGGCAACAGTATTCGTCAAGGAGATTAAGCTCAATCAAGAAGGGATCAGCCGGGCGGATCCCGCCCGTTAGTTATAATTGGATGGGTTATTAAAGAAACCCCCCCACACCAAACAATCCTTTTGTGGCGGCATTGTCTGACTGTTTAGCTCTATCGTATCTGATTGGTTGCTGTGCCTTGTCACCGGCTTTATCTCTGCAGAATTAGACTCCCGCTTTTAATTTATTTCTCTATACACTAAACCCTCCATCGCTGTTGGTGCTGTGCCCCGAATCGGATTCCCCTCGCGCCTCGTCCGTCATGATTCATTTCATTTTCGATCTCCACTGCCCGTGCAGTGCAGTCTCTCAACAAAACTGCTAGTATACTGATTGAAAAAGGTTACATCCGATTTCGGCCAAGACACGCCGGCTCAAGCCCTCGATTTATCTAGTCTATTTTTGTTCTTACTCAGTCTTGTTGTTAGCTAGCCAGCCAGCCAGCAGCATTCTACGAGATAGTAGTTACCTAGAATTATTCCTCTTCAATCCTCCCTTATCAAATCCCTGCTAGCCAATTGATGACTTTCCCCGCACACCTTTCCCCCTCTCTTACCTTAATCTATCTAGCATGGTACTACTAACATCTGTACTATCCTCTTTCCAGTATCCATCCCAACCCGCGCCCTTCCCTAATTGCTTATCATTCGCCAACAAGGCTTGGGCGAAGCTTGTTGTGCCTGCGCCGGTGCCTCTTCCTTTTTCACTCCCCCATGCCTCTTCGGGCAACGCCATCCGCCCACTAACCCTCCACTCCAATATACCAAACCTGCCCAAAGCGCCAGCCAGCTCCCTTAAGCCCTGCCGTAAGATAAGGCCGAGTAACCTAGTTAGTTGCCGCTGTTCCCGGCGCTGGGCCAAGCCGTCGGACTTCCGTCCCCCCTCTCTCTTCCCTTCCCCCCCAATCCCTCCCCTCTCCACTGGTGGAACGATGTCTGGTTGACTTCAATTCGCCCCTGGGATCGGGTGGCTGCCGTACTATTGCATGTTCGTCCGCAACTGCTAGGGAGAGTTTCGTTCTACCCGGAGTATCCGTGTTTAGTCCGCGGGTTGGCTTGCCGGCTGGCTGGCTAGCCGTGCCCGTTAGGTAAGGTTCTGAGGGAGGACCTTACTAGGTAGAAACGGGATCCAACAATGAGGGGGAAAAAGAAAGGCGGGTATGGCTTGCCGGGGGGTCCTTTGCGGCCTGGACGAAGGAAGAGGAGATGATCACTAATGCAACACAATCTTGGCTTGCATGGAGTTGCGCTCCAACCAGAATGTCTCTTTGCGTAGAGAGATGCCAACTCGTGCGGGCCATGCTGGACGGATAGTATGATGCTCCACTCTCCCTCGACCTTTTGCATGTCCGCAATCGTTTTCCCCGTATCGTTGGGCGGGGCCCGTCTTTTCTGCAGCTATGGCTGCTGCTGCCCCGACGGTGAACGACTCTGCATCCCCGGTTTTAGTCAACTTTAGTTGGCGGACCTGGAGATTAAACTCCGTCGGACGAGGAGGAGCAGTGGTGTCATCGTCGGCGGATTGCATGCTATCGGAAGAGCATGGAAGAGGGAAACGAGAAAAGGAAAATATCAGCTTCATCTGCAGAAAGCTCGAGCATAAATAGAGGCCTGAGTTCCGCTGTTCTGGTTGCTTTTCTTCTTCATCCAGCATCGCAAGTCTCTCAAGCATCGCCTGGTTCGATCATCTCACTCTTCCACCACCGACCTTGTCAATAAGTTAGCTCTTCATCTTTTCGAAGAAACCAATCCTCCAAACGTCAAAATGAAGTTCTCTGCTATCCTTACCGGCTCCCTCTTCGCCACTGCCGCTCTGGCTGCTCCTCTCACTGAGAAGCGCCGTGCTCGCAAGGAGGCCCGCGCCGCTGCCAAGCGCCACAGCAACCCTCCCTACATCCCCGGTTCCGACAAGGAGATCCTCAAGCTGAACGGCACCTCTAACGAGGAGTACAGCTCCAACTGGGCTGGTGCCGTTCTGATCGGCGATGACTACACCAAGGTCACTGGCGAGTTCACTGTCCCCAGTGTCTCTGCTGGCTCTAGCGGCTCCAGTGGCTACGGTGGTGGCTACGGTGGTGGCTACGGCTACGGCTACTACAAGAACAAGAGACAGTCCGAGGAGTACTGCGCCTCTGCCTGGGTTGGTATCGACGGTGACACCTGCGAAACCGCTATCCTCCAGACCGGTGTCGACTTCTGCTACGAGGATGGCCAGACTTCCTACGATGCCTGGTACGAGTGGTACCCTGACTACGCCTACGACTTCGACGACATCACCATCTCCGAGGGTGACAGCATCAAGGTCACTGTCGAGGCCACCAGCAAGAGCAGCGGTAGCGCCACCATTGAGAACCTGACCACTGGCCAGTCCGTCACCCACACCTTCAGCGGCAACGTTGAGGGTGACCTTTGCGAGACCAACGCCGAATGGATCGTTGAAGACTTTGAGTCTGGTGACTCCCTTGTTGCTTTCGCTGACTTCGGCTCCGTTACCTTCACCAACGCTGAGGCCACTAGCGGCGGCTCTACTGTCGGTCCCTCTGACGCCACTGTCATGGACATCGAGCAGGATGGTACTGTCCTCACCGAGACCTCTGTCTCTGGCGACAGTGTCACTGTCACCTACGTTTAAATGCATCTCTATGTATGAGATATCGGTCGCTTCAATGTCTTTGTCTCGACGACAAGCCCTGGGGATGAATGAAAAATGAGTGATGAGCTATCCGGATTGATCTGATCTTGTTGAGTTGTTAATTCTGCTTCTGTTGATGATTTTGAGTGATTGTACCTACTTTGAGTGGAAAAAAATAAATGCGCGCGCGATGCTGAAAATAAATGTTCCTCATCTAGTAGATTGTAGAAGGTATTTTGAAGTTGTGCTGTCGATCTGAAGATCCGAAGACCGCTAGAGCGATCTCGCAGCTCGGCTGTGTAAGTGCTTTTGCTCTGTCGATCATAGATTTGTAAAAGCTTGTATACATGGCGGATCTATATAGTTTATTTGAATGCCTCAAACTGATTATTTTTATGAACAGCCTAATTTAGACAGAGGTTGGGAGAGTCGGGTGGAAGCGTAGGGTCGTGGATGGCATGTTGGAAGGCTCTTAGCATGAACCCAAGGATCGGCAGTATGGGGTTAATGACGAAGAGAGAACCGAAAACACTTTAATAGATCTTATAGGGGCATTGAAGTTAGTTACAGCTTTGTTAAGGGAGATGAAGGATGACCTGGGTTGCCTTTTCCGGAAATAGTGCTCGAGCCATCGCGATAGAGACATAGCCAAACAAAACTCAAGCACAGCCAATGCTTGGTAAGTGCAATTCCAGGCAAATTCATAATTCGAAAATAAGATAGGGGCCTACAAAACACAATTCAGATGCCTAGGGGCAACATAATTAAGATAGCCTGATTGCAGTGATGAGTGTAGGCCGTCAGAACTTTGATGCTTTTTGGAAGACATGACGTTGAGAAGAGACACGTGATCCGTATATGCAGCAGAGTAGAGCCACACCTTATTTTGTAGTAGTAAATCATTGAAGAAGACTTAGGCGCTGTGTACGAAACACGTTGGTGAAGTACTTCACTACCTTTGTAAGTGTGAGTGTCTCTTCGTCCGGGACAACGATGTTCTGAAGATGTCAGCTATGGATGATGTGACATACCACCTCTGAGCACCTTGTTCTTGCACGATGGACAAAGCATTAGCTAGACAGAGAAGAGTGTCTTCTGTTTCTTGAAAGGACGGGCTTCTCGTATAGATAACTTCTCGCCAGACATGGCAAGAGGTTTCTGCAAATGCAGCGTGATAACTGCAGCCTTATCGATTGAAGCGAGTCCGTGTCATTAAGCTCTATTAGCAATGCAGCCAATGCAGGGACCTCGGGGTCCGATACCGTTACCCTGAAGCTGTCAGGTACAGGATCTAGGCTGGGATAAGGCAGAGATCCCACCTGTCGCCATACTTCCCTTGATTGTGACTATTCCGTATTGGGAATGTGCATGGAAGGTGACATGCTGACGTAATAGCTTGTGCAGATTGCATAAGCCAATGCAGTGCCTTCCTACTTGGGTAGACTGCTTTCCAGCCGGACCAACTCTTGGTACTTAGTCCTAAATAGTATCGATTATAGTATCTCCATCATATCGCAGCCGATGGCCTAGACTCATTTGAAACAGAAGGAGATCTAGAAGTCAATGATGACTAAAGATCTTATCCACTCAGTCACAGCAAATTCGATACATCAATCACTCAACTCCTTGACACGTGACAGGTCTACTAACCTACATGCGTGTAATAAATCTCCCAATATCTGTCAAATAATACCAGTCAAATCACCAATATAGATATAGTGAATGGAAAAAAGGGAAAGTTCCATATTCACGACATGGAACTAAGATTCGTTGCCGACTGCTGCCGTGCCCCTCCTTCCATTTAAGATTCCTCTATTTAATTTACTTCCAACCTTCTCACTCCCCTCTATCCAACTTCCAACTCTTCATCCAAACCCCATTTTACTGACCATCTGACATCTTTTCTCCATTAAACAATCGCAAACAACAACCATGTCCAGCTCCGGAAAGGACTTCAGCTACAAGGGCTCCGGCACCAACAGCCAGGTAAGTTCCATGCCATAAATCCCCCCTCAACAACAACGACTAATAACCCAACCTAATAAAAAAAAGGGAAACCACTGGTGCTCCCGCGACTACGGATCCGGTAGCTCAAACTCGAACTCTTACCACTATTCGAACAGGTCAGTTATTCCTCTCAATACCCAACCTATACTTCTACTAAAGCGAGCCAAACCCCTTCTAATACCTTTCTCTCAGCAACGGATCTTACTACTACTCCAACCCCAATGGAAGCACCTACTACAACAACGGAAGTGGTGGTTCGACCTACACTCCTCCCAGCGGAAACGGTGGCTCGACCGGAAAGAAATAAGTGCGAAGCTTAGAGCCTTGGAACGCTGAGGAGGATCACGTTGAGGCTGAGTGGGAGTAGCTTAGGGTGATATCTCCTGTAGCTGTACCAGTTATTGTTGGGAGTGAGCTTCTATTTCTTCCCCATTAATGACGAGGATGATAACGATGGTATAGCGACGGAGTATCTTTACACCGCAGGAATTTGACCTGACGTTTGCTTGTTCTTCACTTCAAATGCATGTGCCCAGATTAAGTGCTGATCCTTGAAGATCTAAGTAAGATCTCTGCTATTTTGTGGGGTACTGCTTAGCTTGAAGATCTTATTATAGGTCGCATGTTTAAGTTCGTAGCGTTTTGCGTTGATAGACACGGTAAACAGGTTGTGCGTAGTTGCATACCTACTAGAATATACAAAGGTTTCTTATTCAAGATTTGGCTAACGGCAATTGTCATTAAAAATTGATTGTCTAATTGGAAACTTAACTGTTTGATGATTAGTAGTTTATTGATCAAAGTATAAGGCTGATAGTTAGTATCATGTGAGGCATAGTGTGCTTACTTTCCCGGAACCTTCAGAAGCTTCCAGGGCAACCTTCCGTTGCCACTGTAAATGCAAAGGCAAGCCACATATCATACTTGTCCAAATATAAACAATGCTATTTTTCTCTGAAATTACGAGTCTATGTTGGATACTTTCGAAAATCTTGCATACTGATTGGTTGTGTGACTTGGATGCGCTCAGGCACACACAAATCTCGGCAGGCAGAACCAGTACCAACCCACCATCCACAACTTCCCAATAACGATTAGCGTGTCTTCTTCCCGGTCGGCGTATCTCTTTAACGCGACCACCGCATTAATTGCCCCTCCATACTTGATCATCATTTACCATTGCTATCCCCGTTTCTTGGGGGATTTTTTTTTGTCTAGTTGAGAACTCTTCAGAATACCAACAGATAATTACTGGGAGCATGTCTCACAGACTCTTTATCCTCGTCTACAGAGGCGATCCCCTCGATTACAGCGAATACCGACACACGGCTCTGTACGTGCAATTCGCATCACAAAAACGCAGTATCCTACATATCCTAGGTACCCAGGGTCTCTACAGATATGTGGAATATCCTGGGGCTGATCCGATGGAACTTGGGGATTTGGTGCGTGCGGTGCCGGTGACGGATTTGTCGGTCTCCGTTGAGGAAGATGACATTCGGGAGACGGTGGCACGAACGCCGGTGCGCAATGGGTATTTGGATTTGGAGTGGAACTGCCAGCACTGGGTGGGGGATGCCTTGGCCAGATTGGTGGACAGAGGTTGGGTCGCAGACACGGAGCGGGCGGATGCAATCGATAAGATGACCGATGCTTGCTTGGAGGCCCGTGATGACCAGCTGCTCGATGCTCAGTGATCGGGTTTGTTGCTTTTCTCAAACAAGGAAAGTATGTATGCGTATATTCTTGCTCGCTCAGTCTTGGTGAGATGTCGATTAATTCTCCTAGGTTTCCATCAATGGTCATCCTCGAGGTGGAAAGTAATCTCACGCCTTGGTGGCTGGGAGTGAGATCGGTTGTTGAGACTGCGTTGCTGCGGTGTGGGGTAGCACCGGGCTAAAAAGGCGTCACTTGAACTATTTTTTGCCTCCAAGCAGCAAGCTCCATAGTTTATCGGTACTTGCGTGAATGCGTATAGGCCACAAAATACGCAACACCCATTCGTGGTGGCATTGTCGCGTGGGGTCTCTAGTGCTTATCACATCAGTCGCCAGGCAAGCGTGATCCCCAATGAGTGAGGCCTACCTCTTTCAACTGTTACTGATTAAGTTTGGAGTGGTTACACCCGATTGAACCGCTTGAGGGCCTGTCCACTTGGTTGAAGCAGGCTGGCCTTATGCTGGATTATGTACGTACATCTCGGTGAGCGTACGGCTGTAATGTTAGGGAAGATCCGAGATTCTGCGTCTCGGGAACAGGTCATCATGGGCCTTGAGGGGCATAACAGGAAACGAAAATGAATTAGAAAGCAAACAATGGAAGAAGCAAAAATCTTCATCGCTTTGAGTGATGTCATTCGGGGCTTCGCCGTGGAACCTTCATGCTGTTATCGTTCAACTGCTTACGCTGCGGTGATTATATGAAAATTGAAAGTTGACACGTGAGAGATGAGCTGCACAACTAGAGTGACTCAGGTCGAATTGATCCTTCCTGCAAGCATCTTTCCTAGCTGAACGCTAGTAAGAACCCCGCAAAACAGGGCATGAATGGCTGAAAGGCTATCATCTCATTCCTATCTCACTTGATGGTTGTGTCAGCATGCCAGTCTTATCCTGCTGCCGAGGCTGTACTTACTCCACACGAGGCCCTGTTCGCCAATGATTCAGGCATTCTCGAGTTACAAGGTATGGTCCAGGATCGGCAGATACCCTCCGTGGTAGCCACCGGAGCTGCAGCTTGCCATCATCTGATACATCACTCAATTGCTGCTTAAAAGGACTTCTGGTCGCCCGTCAACCCAGAATTTTCATCGCTTGTTCATCTCCAGACAGAATTGTAGCTCACCATGGATTTCAACAAAGTTGATCATCCTATTTTCACGATTGCGACTGTCACTCTCTTTCTTTGGTATACCATAACCTACCTGCAACGGAAATGGACGCATCGTCGTATAATGAAAGCGAACAATTGTCAACCACCACCATCTTATCCTCAGAAGGATCCTATCTTCGGCCTCGATATTCTTCTTGAGCAGATTAGAAATGCAAGAAAACATAAGCTTCTCGAGCGGTTGAGCGAGCGATTTAAGCTATATGGCAACACATATACACAACGACGATTGACCCATTTTGTTATAACTTGCGAGCCGGAGAACATAAAGACAATATTGTCCCTCCGATTTAAGGATTATGGCTTGGCAGGCCGTATCGATGCAATGGGTCCGCTTTTGGGCCATGGCATCTTCACCACCGACGGCGAGCACTGGGCGCAGTCGCGTGCCATGGTCCGTCCCAATTTCGCGAAAGAGCAAGTCGCGCACTTGGATATTTTTGAGGAACTCGTCAACGAAATGGTCTCACTGATCCCAACCGATGGCAGAACGGTCGATCTACAGGAGTTATTCTTCGAGCTCACCATCGACTCTGCAACGGAATTCCTCTTCGGGCACAGCGTGCACAGCCTCAAGAAGCGACTGGCTGGGACCCGTGACAGTACAGAACAGGACTTTGCCGGAGCTTTCAATTATGCACAAAAGGCCATCGCAATGAACCTACGCCTTGGTAAGCTCAAATATCTCAGGCGCGACCGCAAAGCAGAAGAGTCCAATCATATCTGCCATAAATTGGTGGAGCAATTCGTCGACAGTGCACTGAAAGTGCGAGAGCAGTCCAGCAACCAGAAGCCATTTATCGAAGAGGATAGTCACGATGCAAAGGGAAAGAAAAATTACCTTTTCCTGCATAGTCTAGCCCAGCAGACGGGAGACCGAAGGCGGATTCGCGACGAACTAATGAATATTCTCCTGGCCGGGCGAGATACCACGGCATCCTTGTTGAGCAACCTGTTCTTTATGCTGGCAAAGAACCCTCGCATCTGGAACAAATTGCGCGAGGAAGTTTCTTTCCTAGAAGGTCGCCCGCCGTCGTACGAGCAACTGCGTAATCTGACATATGTGAAATTCTGCCTGAATGAATGTAAGTAGTACCGACCCGCAAAAAGTCTCATGAAACATGGCTTACTTGGCACTGTAGCTCTTCGCCTCCACCCTGTTGTGCCAGCAAATTTGCGCTTTGCCAACACAGATACAGTACTTCCGCGCGGTGGTGGGCCAGATGGCAAGTCGCCTGTTTTCGTGCCAAAAGGCTCTATCGTTGCCTATCATGTCTATGCTCTTCACCGTCGTGAAGACTTTTTCGGCCCGGATGCAAATGAGTTCCGGCCTGAACGTTGGGCTGAGATCCGTCCGGGATGGGAGTACTTGCCATTCAACGGGGGACCACGAATTTGCGTTGGCCAACAGTATGCACTAACGGAGGCAGGGTATGTCACGGTTCGGCTAGCCCAGAGATTTTCTGTGCTAGAAAGCAGGGATCCAGGGCCGTGGGTGGAGGAGTTTACACTGACCGTTTGTTCAAGGAATGGGACGAAAGTGGCTTTGAGATGATTCCTGCTTGTTTCTGTCTGAATTCGTAGAGACGGCGATGAATTAGAAGCGTATTGCGTACATAGTATCTCCTCCAGTATATAGTTGGTGAATTTGAGTATTCATGTTTTTGTGCAATTCTAATAGAACTGTATCAACTCGGGGTAGGCGCTGCCAGTGTCACAAGCAAAGAATAGTCAGGTGCCAGTTGGTCACGAGATCTTGTCCGGGTACCTGACTTGGAGGGAAGGCAGTTCTATGCCAGGGAGGACTCGGTAGCATGGATGTGTCTGACATGTGCGGCAGCTCAGAAGAGCCTAATACTTCGCTATGTATTATGTGGAGATATTTTATGCACTGGAGCCAGGTATGACCAGATCCTTTACCACCTGTGTCCATGTAGTCTCTGACCACCACCACTACTACCATGACAACTAACATCATTCTAAGATATCTTGGGGAACAATAAGAAAGATGATTAGACGGAGTAAAAACATCCAGCAGAATCGCTATCAAGTGAGGCATTTCGTTGTTTCCCTTCGCGAGATCCCCGAGGGTTCAGACAGATCCGGCATGTCAAACAGCCAAACAAGTCAGTGATGCATCATATCATGGAATATGTCAGTGGTTATACGCACAACAGACTTAGTATCTGCCCTTTGTCTTGAGTTGTTTTGCTGCAGAAACATGGAGGAAACGAACTCTATGTCAGCGAGGTAACTTTGCATGACCGACTCCTTACAGGTGCTATAGTTGCCACAGCTTCAGTCAGGCGAGATGAGGTAGGTACGTACAACCCCCCTTGCTATCCCCTAGTAGCCCAAGAACATTTAGTTGCTGTACGTCAGATTATTCTAACAAGTGTTTAATAGGTTGATGACATCCTTTGTCCTTCGCTCCACAGTACGAAGGCTACAGTCACTGACACATTCCAGACCATGAGAACCATGATACGCATCACTGACTGGTTGGGCTGTTCAATGGGCTGAGTCCGTCTCAACCCTCAGGGATCTCGGGTAGAGGGACAATGGATGTCTCACTCGATAGCGGGTTTGCTGGATGCTGTTATGTGGGGAACTACTGCAGACTCAACAAGGCCATGGGCTGTATAGCGAAACCATACGAAAAGCCTGATGTCGCACAAGAAAACCGGAGCAAAGGGGGCGGCAAGAAAAGTATCGGAAAGAAAGGAGACGGAACACAAAATTCGTGGGCGTCGACATGATTACCTATTATTAGTAGGTGACGAAGAACGGAAACAAAGGGAAGCCCAAGCCAAGGAAAACATGCAACCGGGGCCCGCTGCCTTATAACAACTGGGCGTGACACAGCAGCATCACATATATCTGCCCGTCTGGCTAGGTAGTCGAGCTTATAACGAAATAGGGAACTCGTCACTAGGCAAACCGACATGACAGGCCACGTCTAGCGTATCAAACCCGCGCTCTGTACCTGTCGTCGGGTGAAACGAGGCTGAGATGTATCCTGTCATATGATGGGTTTGCATGCGATGACGGCTGGTACCTGGAAAGATGCCTGTTGGTTTGCCATGCTTTCGCACCAGCTCTAAATCCTACTAGTCATTTAGTATCAGGAACCCAGCCGGGTTCCACAACATTCAGATCCAATGGCCAGCCACAGAGATGGGAGGTTAGTATTTATCATCGTTCGTTGGTTCTGACGCTTATGGCGGTGAACTCAACCCTCACAGGCTTCCTTCCACAGGCCGTTCTTTGAGCCTTGGGTTCCTTTTCCTTGAGGCTGGAAATACTGATTAACAGGGCGACGGAAGTGGCGGTGAAAAGGAGGCCTAGAAGATTCCCGTCCCACAATTTTATCTGCCAATGGTGCTTTTTCCGGCATTCTAAAGTATTCATGAAGCTGTGGTCAGTGGTGGATCTCAGGGTCCTGCAAGATGGACAACGGAATTGCTTCCCCGATTGGACTATTGATCGCCTGAAGTAATTGCCAGCCATTTTTTGCGCAGATGTGGTTCAATAGACGGGCTGACGGACTCCATCCGCCGCGGTCCAGCCGATCGGAAACATGATCAATCGCGATACCCACCGAATTAAACATGTCTGACTTTCTCGAATAACGCATCCACACACCTCGAAAGAAGAAAGGGCGAAACTTCCATGGATCGATGTGTCGATCTGCATCTCATTGCTTTTTCTCATCATTTTTTCTCTCTTCTTTGTCGCCTGTCCTCCCTTTCTTTCTGTTTGAGTTCTAGATTCCGCCCGGCGACCGTCTCAGTTGGCCCACTCCTCC